GAGATTGGATAATCTAGCTTTAAATATCTTAATAGGTTAGGTCCAAAAGTAAATTGTCTTCTTAATTAGTGCGGTCACAATTGTAGTTTTGACACAGTTAAGATAATGAGTGACGTCGAAGATACATGGACGTCCTCACGATTGTTGAGGAAACGAAAATATTACGCGAGAAAAAAATTAGAAAAAAGAATGTGTTTAATCATGAAAACCGATAGTGAGGTTAACAAAGATGTGCAAGGCAATAATAATATAACCATTGATAATTATGCATACGAAGAAGCCGAAGCACATGAAAATTCTAAGTCCGAGGGTGATTTACACATGGTAGAAAATGATGAAATTAGCGGTTATGAAAATGAAAGAGCAAATGAAGTCGAAACCGATGGAAATACAATTGACGAAGAAGTTGAAACCGTTGAAAATACAAATGACGATGAAGCTGTTGAAGCCGAAGAAAATGCTTCAGATGACGATGAAATTAATGAAAATGAAACAGAAGACGAGGAAATTGGAGGCAATGAGAATGAACCCGAAGATGAGATGGTAATGTTACGCGATTGGATTGTTAATTGTCAAGTTCCACACGCGCACGCAGATATTACTCGATATTTTAAGGCCAAGATTGATGCCAAATTTACCGAAATGTACGAAAACATTGATTAAAACGACATCAGCTAAATACAAAATCGAAGAAATGCAGGATGCCAATGGATCAGTCGGGGAATTTGTTTATTTTGGAATAAAACAAAATCTGATAAATGTCATTAATACAGAATTACACATCCACAATGAAATAATTAATTTACAAATTAATATTGATGGAGTACCACTTTTTAAGTCAGCTGCGAAACAATTTTGGGGAAACGCAGATAACTTTAGTATTTTTTGGGAAATTATATATAATATGTTAGATGGAGGAAAATTATACCGATTCATGAGTTTTTCAAGATTTGAGAAGAACAAATCTACCTGTGGCTTATTAAAACCTACAGCTCGCATCACACTCGTAGACTCAGGTGTTCTTAGTGATAAATCGGAATGTCTAGCCATAAAGTCATAGTAAAAATGTTTACCAGCTGTTCCTTTTTCAGTGTTGAAACGATGAGGAAGCTTTAGCTCTACTGCTAAGTCATATGCCAACTTTAGAAATTCTTTTTTCATCAGTGGCAAACATCGATTCGATAAGTCTTTCACATGGTTCACTAATTGTTCTTCATATTCTGGTGGGAATGTTTTAGTGAACCTACCAATCTTAGGCTGCAATGATATTTCTTCGCCGGATTTTAGACATCTAATTTTATCGTGTAAAGTGCTTTTAGGAATATCATATTTTTTCGAAGCTTCTCTCAGGCTCATTTTTTTCGATATAACTTTATCAAGAGCAATTTTTAAGTTATCCTGATCCCATGCTCTTTTCTTTTTATTTTCCATGTCTCCAAGGTGTTTCTTCTGTCCTCTGAAAACAAAATATTATACTTCAGAATAAACATAGACACATAGCATTGACGTTTTCATTGTCCGGCATTATGGGATAGTGTTCTGTCCGGTACCAGGGGACAGCTAATGGTCAAAATAAAAATATATATTTATTAAACTCTATCTCTTCATACAAAAATCACTGACGTAATTGAAAAAGTACTTTCCAAATCACTTTATAACAACGTGAATAAATATTTAGTCACAGGAACTTCGTAGTATACTCGTCTCAAGTTTACGCGATACACTCTTTTCCTTCTGAACGCAACAATTGACAGCTCTGTCTTGTTTATCGCCCAAGGCTGAGGCGTGTTACTGCGTGCACGACTATCGCTCACCTCCCTCTAACTTTCCGCCATGGCAGCGCCACGATCGCGTTTGTACATGCATAGATATTGGGCATGTCCGGCGCTAGGTGCCGTCCGGCGTTAGGGGTACTCCCCCTAAATGTTCGTTTTCTTCATTGAAAATGCAATAATGTTGATATACAGCTGAATCGCTACATATAATATCATTATCTCTGTTTCCATCACAGGTATACTGGAAAAAAAGAATTTAAACATAACATACACAGACACAGACAAACACATACACACATACACGCACGCACACGTACGCACACGCACACGCACACGCAGTTTCGACGTCGATCGACGAATAATTTCTCACTGGGGGTTTGTTTTCTGTTCCTGCACTGGTGAACTAGTGCAGTAAGCTAGAATGAGAAAAAATATGCTTGTCTTACTTCAATTTATTGCACTAGTTCACTAGTGTAGGAACAGAAAACAAGCCTTGGGTGGGACATACCCCAGTCAGAAATGACTCGTAGATCGATGTCAAAATGACGTCAAATCGACGTCAATGTGACGGTTTCGATGTCGATATGACGTCGTTTCGATGTCGATCGACGAGTCATTTCTGACTGGGGTACCCTTACATAAATCGTAATAATCTTAATTCGAATAACACGTCTGGTAATCAAGTCAACGTATCACTTACAAGACTTCCAATCACGCGATTAGGTTGTTCCTGATTTTTTTTTAAATTAAAGCTTGCACTTTCAGCTTCAAAAACTAGTCACCAGATTTTTCCTTGAATGCATCTGCGCTGCTGTAGCTTTTAAAATGTAAGGACATGTTTTTACCTAAAAACTAACCAACTTTGGCCAGGTGTTTTAACATTATTATTATTTTTAGATCTATACATACTTGAAATTAGCATGTAAGTAGAATTTTTCAAAAGGACAATTATTGTATCGTAACTTTGTTTCCCGCGTCATTTATATTTCCCGCGCGCGATTCTTCCCGGGATCAAGTTGGGCTACCTACATCTTGCCTTGCGACCCACATTGGCGTGTTACCATATATTGTTTATTTTAAGGTCACTCGTTATTTTCAACAATTAAGAATTTGTGAATTTGTAACGTAAATTTTTACTAACTCCATTACTTCCTATTCGTACCGTGCGTATGCACATTACATCTTAACGGCTCTTCCAAAATCCTTTCTATTGAATATGGCCTTGTACATTCCATGTATCGATGTAACCGTTGTGCATGGTCAATCGTGCGATACTTGGCATACATGCAAAAACAAAGAATAGTCTCTTTAATACAGGTGGTGCGAATAAAAAACATCTTGCGGAACGGGTTGAGTCGCAGAACACGCCTTGTTCCTTGTTTAAGCACGTTATTTGCTGCATTTATATCCATCTTCATATCTTATATCCTATAACTACAGTTGCTAAAAGTTTCAGTTGACAATGTTGCGCCTTCTCGTACTATTGGCCCTTCCTTTCTGGCTCGGGTAAGAAGGAATGTTTATCTCTCATTTTTTTCTCTGTCTCCTGCGCTATAAAGATTCCCCATTGTGATTCAACCATTTTCTTCCAATAAAATTGAACATTTTCGAAAATTTGACAACTGCAACTTCGATATCGCGGCTATAAGATGGCTTGCTTACTAATATTATTATATTATTATATTATTATACTATGTTAATACATGTAATTCTAAAGATAATTACTTGTATCATTATGTATCATATATAAACTACATTGTGGTCATTGTTTTAAACTATGTATATATTTATTAATCGCAATAAGCATACAATACAATACAAAGCAAACCAAAACAATGTTCAAATAACTTATATACTAAATCATTATGATAATAAATTGTACCTTAACTCACACAAAACAAATTAATACAATATTTAAATAACTTATAGACTAAGATATTACAGAATTACTTATATACTAAGCTAATCTAGAGGTATGAATGTGTGATAACAATTATAATTAATTAAGAAAGAATAATAAAGTAAAATAAACATGATATTTATGTTTCACAAATTTTCCAATTTATTAAGAACAAATTCAAGATTGGGGTCATTAGGTCTTAATCTTCTAATCTTCTCTATAGATATGTGGGCTTTAAACTCTTAACTTCATCACTATACTCAAAATCTCCATTTGCTTGTCTGGTAGTCAATTTCCATGTAGTGCATAGTTTTGTTTTTACTGGCTCAGTTAAAGCAGTAGAATTGTATGAAGCAAGAGAGAATGTGTAAATTTGCTCAAGACCTGTTTTCTCCCCAACTTGACTTGAAAATATTATCTGTCAAAACTGACAAGAGCACCATTGCAGCTAATGGTGCATTAGGACTATGGGGTAACAATGCCGTCATCATAGGGGAGAAGAAAGCTCTAGGAATATTTTTATCAGGGAAGACTGCCTCATAATTATAAACACTTCTCCCAAATCCTTTATTGAAAAGATCAACAGTAATGTTAGGAAAAGTGGCTGCAATTCTGGTTATAGTAACTGTTTTTGCCTCAAGGGATTGTCCAGCCTTGCGTTTCATGGTATTAATATTGTACTTTGTTTTCATTATTTGTAAACAATTTTTCATCATTTCTGAACTTTTTCTTATAATCTTATCATAGGCAGCACCTCTGGTAATGAACATTAAACAAATATATTGCATGTCACTATTAAATTTCATATTATTTGAAAAAGTCATTTGATGCTCTTCATTGTTAATGACTGCAGTTAATATTTGTTCTACCTTTGAGCCTGGATTGGCAGCAATCATGTCAGAAGTTGCCTTATGTCTGGCAAACAGTGTAGCAAACATATCTTTAGGATTAAATCCCTCATATTTATCAATTTCATTAAAAATTCTAAGATCTTTCAAAGATGCATCTAGGGCCTCAGCTTTTAAGGTATCAAAGTATGCTTCAGCTTCCTCATTATTGAGATTTAACTCAGAAATGATGTTAGCTAACTGGCTGACATAATCTCTATCAACTGTTAAAGTTGCTATTCTCTCTCGAAGCCTTGCATCTGCCATTGTGGAATTTTGTGTATTGGCCTTTTTCTAGTTTTCTTAATAGGAGATATATGCTTAGCTATAATTTCATCCAATTCAGAAATATCTGGTATGTCCTCTCCTATTATAGAGGGTCCTTGAGCTGGTAAATTAACCTCCTTATAAATCTTTTGAACTGGATCTAGATAAAAAGTTAGATTCACCTGAGTGCTCTGATCTCTTACTACTCTCTTTTCACAAAACATAGGTTTTGGGATATCTATCAGATCTAAGGATCTGAGAACTGAATATCCTACTGAAGATTCCTCTGTTTGTGTTGATCTATTCCTCCTACAGTGGTGGTGAGGAACACACTTACAGTTTGGATAATCTCTAGAAAGATACTCCTGAGAATCACTATCAAAGCTCATTAGCAGTTCATATGTTAATAACTATTAATGTGCCCGTCAGTGTGACGATCGTATCGTATTTCATCGATATTTTACTAACAATAAATTGAGAATGTGTTACAAGCGCGATTATATCCCTACTTTTAATTTAACAAAGCAAAATCGCAATGACAGATATAAAATTTTTTATAAATCACCTTCCTGAGTAAGTTCCGAGAAATATTAATTACATATCAATATTTCCTCTCGTAAAAAAAACCTAAAAATAAAATCTCTATAAATTATAATTAAATAAGACTCATTGTAACTCTGAATAACTTGGCTCCGATATATTCATTATTACTATCGCACTGCTTGTTACATAATGAGTTTATGCACACGATATTGTGTTCGCGATATGTTCACATTCTCTAGATAAGAGCTGTATCGCACGAAATTGTAAGTCTCCTGGGACTCGATTCTTGAATATATTCGAAGGAGAAACGTATGCGAAAATTCTGCTCGTACAGAAAAGTCGCAAGTTGATTGGCTATTCGCATGGCTTTAACCAATCGACTTTCAACTTTTCTGTCAGAGCAGAATAGTTCGTATACGTTTCTTCTTCGAATGATTTCGAGAATCGGGGCCCCTGATAATATCCGAGCAATATACAATCCTACGTAGCAACACGTATTTTAGCGCTTCACCAATAGGCATTCGAGTATTATGAGCCTCAGCCTCGCTATAATTTCATATGATTAAAACCATGTAGCAAAATATACTTTTGATGAAAAATACGAAGCAATACATTTTTCTCTGAAAAAGTTTTTTAAAATTACGTACATTTGGATATACGTGGAAGGAGAAGCTGCAATTGCAACATAAGATAAAACATATTCAAATTATATTTTCTTCAAATGTTTTTTTAATACCATATGCTTTCTCTTACTAAAAATCTTGCATGTAATAATTTTACCGGTTTTACGCAAAAGCAGAAAATATTTTTACAAAAATCGTGCAAGAGATTATCCATAAATTTTTGTCAAATTCTTACATACGGGTTTTCAACGGATTTTTTCTTCGAAAGGTCTGAGTCTTTCGAATCTTTCGTTGACGTTGTTTTCGCTTGCCTCCACTCTTTTCGATCGGTTTCAAACTGTTCCTTGTCGAATACACGATACTGTGAAACTGACGAAGAGCACGTTATGTAACGAATTGATGCAATAACATTATTTTGTAGACGTTAAAAAATTATATAAAACAAATAATTATTTAGATACCATGCATTCTTCGTTATAAACATTTAATTGGATTCTTCTAATTGAAATTACACTTTTCGTATCTCGTTTAGTACTCTGTGATCGAAACTATTCCCCCAAAGATGTACAATGTCAAAATCAAGTTTAGTACAATATTATTACGATGTCATATATAACACTACAATAAAATTGATATTGCTCTTATCACTAAAACATGGTTTCATCCGAACACACATTTGAGCTTTTCAGATTATGATCTTGTGATTCTAATTGAATTGCTGCTGGCGGTCTAGCGGTTATAATTAATAAGTTCATTAAATATGTTACTCTGCTTCCTTGCAATATGCAGGGCTGTGAAATGCTTCTGGTGAAGATTATTCTCGGGGTATATTATAGTATATTTATCTTGCATCGTTTAAATGTCACTACTTTCCTGAAGTTTAAAAAAATGATTGTAAATTTCCCTAAATCGGCAATATCAGAATCTTTTCTTTTTCGATCAATTATTGATTTACTAAGCACGTTTATGGTAATAAGGTATTTGAAAGAATTATTCTTCATCAAATAAACTCACATTTGACAGCCAACAAGATGATTATTAATGAACAGTTTAGATTTCACTT